TATATACTGCAACACAGAGGCACACAATATACATATAATATTATATATACATATATATATATACATATATATGTATGTGCATGCTTGTGTTGCAGATTTACGTCCGCCGCTATTATGTATATATATATATATATATATATATATATTAGATAAAGTTATACGGACACGGTAGAAATTTGACTCTGTTTATTGGCATACAGAACTGTTTCGTGTGGAGCGAAAGCTCCACACTCATCAGTGCCTAATACAGAGTGATCTATTTAGAACATCCCGAGCAGTATAAAAACATTCATGCATTAATGTGATCTATTGTTCGTATTCAATGCGTGCGCGTTCTAAAGAAATACCATAGATACCAGATACTAATTAGCACGTCATTGTCGGTGACTGCTGCGCGTTGGCTGCTAAACGAATTCATCTAAGAGTTCACATAATGTTCCTTAATAAAAATTTATCTTTATAGTCTACATTTACTAACAAGTTCGGTTTCTCTTATTCAGTGTAGCGGTCTCAGTTTACACAGATATGTAAAATTTCTCTGTTAAGCATAGGTTGCATTTCTTTGTAGGTTTCGAGTAGTGTGGCGCTTTGCTCCAGTATCTTCCATTTAATCGCGTAGTCTAGGTTGCTGTCTTTCAAGTTCCAAATATAAACAGAGTCAAAAGATAAACAAAGTCCAAAAGATAAAAAGTCCAAAGTCCAAAAGATAAACAGAGTCAAAATTTCTACCGTGTCCGTATAACTTATCTATATTTGCTCTACTCATGGTAGTATTGAGCACTCCGACACACGAGTTCATAAACAACCATTGAATCTACTATATATATATTATATAATATATATATATATATAGATATTATAGGTATTATTAGCTTAACTGTGTACGAGTGATTTGTGACACAATGTGATGTGTCAACACTTGCAATCATAGATGTCACATCCACTCATCGACACAAAGCTATAGCAAATCTCAACGAATTCCTGAACACGGGCATTTTCATCGATCGCACTTGGGGACAAAAATATTAGTCTTACTCATTAAATTTTTCCCGTAAAAATAAATTAGCACACACAAACATACACGCACGCACGCACGCACGTGCGCACACACACACATACCTTGCCATGTCGTCGGGAGCGAACTGAGAGAGAGACGAGCTAACCAGCTCACAAGCCTTCTCGTTTGATATGACGTCCCACAGGCCGTCAGAAGCCAGTATGAGCACGTCGTCTGCATCATGCATCTGGGAGGCAAGGTCGTACGCCCGCACCTGTAATCAAACACATAGCACAGGTGAACGCAAGCCGACAAGTAGTGTCATCACACTAGTCCTAGACAACCACTAGATTCAGTGGTTTTGCGATTCTGGGAGAATTTAGGAGACGGTAGCGGCATCTGTACTATCTAAACTGTTCAAGATGTCAAAAATTTTTCAGTAGTCAGTCCAGGGTACAGACCGCCACCTAGCAGCATGTATATTTCAGTTACGGGATTTGCCTCGAAACAGGGTTTTCGCAGTTGAATTAGAATCACAGTAAACCCAATCCTCGCTAGAATTTTAAAATGGACTTCGCTGAGAATGGCGACAATAACGCAAGGAGCGAACGTGGATTCCTCTGCCACCGACCTCTGGATTAGGAGATAGGAATGGCTTCACGTATAGCTCCGTGTTATAGACCCTTAGGTCGTGGTCGCCGAATCCCCGCGTCACCCCGATGGTCGCCATCAACTTTGCCTGCCAATAATCAATAATAATCAATAACTCGCCTGCCAATAATCAATACTAATAATAACCATCAATCAATAACTCTCCCACCAATAATCAATAATAATAAATAATAATATTAATATCCATCAATCAATAACTCGCCCACCAATAATCAATAATAATAAATAATAATATTAATATCCATCAATCAATAACTCGCCCACCAATAATCAATAATAATCAATAATAATATGAATATCCATCAATCAATAACTCGCATGCCAATAATCAATAATCATAGCCAATAATAATACTAACCATCAATAATGAAATGATAACTGCGGGAGTGAGTAGAGATAATAACAGATATAAACAGAGTGAGATAACGAGAGATATTACCACGAATGTATGTGTAGAGCATTGTATAGTACCCACAGATATCTCCACGATATTACTAACGTCATGTTAGAATTAGAATCGTTGTACGGTTACGTCTTAGTTTTCATCAAAGTTTTGAAAGTTACGAGGGAAGAAAGTTTTCCTAAAGTTAGATAACAAAAATAAGAATATCTTCTCCCGACGCGGCAGACGACGCACGCGACCTTGACAACAACGAAGGTCGGACGGAGGACGAAGATCGTACGGTAGACGAAGGTCGGACGGAGGACGAAGGTCGTACGGAAGACGAAGGTCGTACGGAGGACGAAGGTCATACGGACGAACACTGACCCGCTTGCCATCGCCGTGTATGAGCGGGAACTTGATGTCCTCTAGCGTGACGGTCTTGTAGGCCCATCCCTTCATGCCCACATCCCTGTAGAGCACGCGCCGACCCACGTCCAGGCTCGTCAGCCGCTGCTGGAACTCCAGGTGCGTGAACTCATCCCCAATGAGGTGAGGCCGCAGCCATGCCTGCGACGGAGAGAGAGAGAGAAGGTGGAGCGTGAGGGAGAGAGAGAAGGGGGAGCGGTGAGAGAGAGAAGGGGGAGCGATGAGAGAGAAGTGAAGCGGAGCTGCGACGGAGAGAAGAGAGAGGGAGAGAGAGAGAGAGAGAGAGAGAGAGAGAGAGCGGTGAGGAGAGAGAGAAGGGGGAGCGGTGAGAGAGGGAGAGAGAAGGGGGAGCGGTTAGAGAGAGAGAGAGAAGGGGGAGCATGAGAGAGAGAGTGAAGGGGGAGCGCACACGCAGGGGGCGGGAGCACACGATCGACCGACGATGACGAAGGTCCAGACATTATCGTGAGCACGGTGTGTTGTGAGTGCCATCGTCGTACTTTTTTTGGCGTTATAATTCTTGGTAGTTATATTTTGCTGCTCATTCTCACGTTTTGTTTGCAATGTTGGTTCTCAGAAGTCGAACATTCCTAGTTCTTATTTTCGTTCTTATTGTTCATTGTTCTTAGAAGCTCAACATTGTTCTCAGCCAAACATTCTATTCATCTTCTGATTAGCCAGAGAGCTACCTGCCGATCGCGGACCAATTTAGAGCAGATCGGTTACGAAACGAATCGGTTATGCTGCGATTAATCAACGCGTTACTCGATCGAGACGCGGTCGCCGTGGCGACGACACCCACCAGGTGCTGCAGCCTCTGTCGCTCGGTGATGGGCGTGAAGTCGGTGGAGAGTTGCATCGGCCGCGCCCGCCGGCAGACGACGGCCCGGCAGTCACCGGCGTTCGCGACATAGAGACGGTCGAGGAAGAAAAGCGCGACGATGACGGCGCAGCCGCCCGTCAGCTGGTACATGTGACGCTCACGCCCGATCTGTGCATCCTGCGAGGTAAACACGATCGATGAGGATGCGTATTACTAATAATCAATCAATAACTAGTAATTAATTGATAACTAGTAATTGGTAACAGCCGGTACACCTGCCGCTCCCGTACGATCTCTGCATCCTGCGAGGAAATCACGATCGATGAGGATACGTATTACTAATAATCAATCGATAATAGGTGAGATACAACCTGCAAAAATCAATTTATAATGAGTGGGATGCAGCCTGGACGAAATCAATCGATAAAGAGTGGAATACATCCTGAAAGTAATCGCGTAACCTTCGATAAGTGTGACTGTTCACACCCCACCTTTAATAAGTAGCATATCCTGACAGTAGTCCGGTAGGGGTTGCATGTGGGTGTTTATCACCACAATCATTCACGTGAAAACGTGCACGCGCGTACCATACATGCAATCACACAACATTTATTTAGAAACATAGGTAGCTCTATATGGCAGCACGCTGTTAGTGCGGTCGTTGATCGAGCGTCGTTACCATGGTGTGGAATGCCGCCTCCAGTGCTCCTGTCACCAGCTGGTCAGGAAGGACATCCTTCCAGTCAGCCGTCACCTGGCCGTCCGGCCAGCCGTTTTCCGCGACCTTGTCTTTCTTGTTCGTGAACAGCAGCTCCTGCATTGTGCTTAGCTTTTCCTGCACAGGTTTATAATATGTTAGAAGTTATAGATGTAAACAACAGTTGTAACAACTATATATATACATATATGAAGAGAGAGAAAGAAAGAGAGAGAGCGCGGAAGCGAGCAACCGAGAGAGAGAAAGAAAGGGAGAGGGAGAGAGAAGAAAGAAAGAGATCGAGAGAAAAAGAGAGAAGGAGAGATAAAGAGAAAGAGAGAGGGAGAGATAAAGAGAGGGAGAGAGAGGGAGAGAGGGAGAAAGAGCGAGAGAGAGATTATTATGGTGTTAAGGTACAGCACACTTACGAATGTGTAAAAATTGCAACTCCCAAAATGGTTAACAGTTCGAAGTCTCCTTAATAAGCCATGCATGGATGCGTCTACAGCTTCTAACCCCCCTGTATCTTGCCACACGGCTCCCTGCGTCTATCCACACCCTCCTACTTGCATGCTGACCCACACAGAGCAGAGGTCAAGCATGAGGTCATGATCACCTGTATGTGGTAGTGGAGAAGCTTAGAGGTGAAGACCGCTGCCTCCGATCCAGCGTGTCCGT